GCTGCTCTACTTACCGAGTGAGGATACCACCACGTGATCGATACAAACCCTTTCGGGCGACATTTAAAGTCTGAACATTTTTCAGATTTTTTCTTTATATTATTTTACTATCAAGTTATTTTTATAATGTTTCTGTAAGGAATAAGGTTTTTAAATTAGGAAAATAAATTAGTTTCTCTACTTATCCTCATTTGATTTCGAAACATCATATTAGTTTCGTGGCCAATGTAAAAAAACTAAATTGGACGTGCAACCAAAAAGACATTTGTTTACTTCATGGCGGTTAAGCTAGTAATCTTACGTAACGATTCATTTCATTAATGTTGAGAGAAGTTCTGTTATAAAATAATTGAATTTAAATCGGATGTAGTTTAATTTTTAATTGTTTAGATTAAAAAATTAAGCAAAATTCATTGGCAAATGTAAAATGAATTGTTTGTTGTCTCAAATGCCAGTATGTTTTACAATTTCACAAATTCTTCATGTTCGTCGATTTAGTTGTACTGTAAAGTATTTTAATGAAGCAATTGATTGGGAATATTATAGCAGTCCTACAAATTTTAATGCTATTGCTGCTAATGTAATGTCAAGAAAAGTATCATGTAATTTGAAATGTGTTTTAGGACAGTTACATGAACTACATAATCATAGAAATGATGTAGAAAAGTGTCAGATTTTGAAAGAAAAAATTGCTCCCGAGTTACTGTGGTTTCCAAATTTAACACATCCGAAAGTTTTGGAGAATAACTCAGAAAAACCATTTCTGTTACAAAAAGTAGGAAAGAAAACAGCATTTACATATTTCCCAACAAACTTTGAAAGTTTAACGAAGCGTTTAAATGTTCTTCGAACAAAGCATTTAGGCCATATGAGTGGTAACAAGAGTTATTTTTTGAAAAATGATTTATCTCTTTTAGAACAAGCATTGGTGAGATGTGCTCTCTCTAAACTTGTAAAAAAAAGATTTCAAATGGTTTCTGTTCCAGATGTTGTATCTCAGACTTCATTTGAAGGTTGTGGTATGAGGACAGATGGCAAGCATTCACAAGTATGTTCTATAAGTCTGTTATATTTCATCTAAGTTTTTTTTTTGGTATATAACAGGCCTTGAATATGAGCATCACTTAAAATGTAAATAGTAATGAAAATTTCTGCTTCTGAATCAACATTCAGAATTTTAGGGCTGTTTACAATTTCTTGATGTAATTATGTATTCAGAAATGTGTATGTATATATATATATATGTATTCTTATTAAAATTCTCAAAAATAATTTAATACCTAATCGATTTATTAACTATTGTCTTAAAAGAGCAGGTGTTAAATACTCACCCTAAATCATTTAACTGATAGGGATATGGTAATTTGTTCCTAAACCTGAGAAGGCAGTATGAGTTGGAGGATTTGCACATAGTGTAATTACAAAATTGTATATAATGTAAAAACCTAATTGTCTTCAGACTTTTCTTATACTGTTACTAAAAAAATGGGCCTATTTCATGACTTTAGTCTGTCTAATAGCTCTTGGACAGTGAAAAATTCCTTTTTTCCTTTTCTAAATTCTTAATCATTGCGACACGACAATTAGCCAGAAATTAATTAATTTCCATTCACTAGTTAGTATTTTCAAAAAAATCTTAACAGACATTCTCCCTCAAATAAGAACTCCACAACATAATGTCCCTCTAGAATTCCTAGTCCCTCCCATGTACCATAAATTACTTCTCACAAGTTTTACCGACTGATATTATTCAAAGTACCCCCACTGCCGCTAATGGAATTTTCGGACACACAACCCCTTCTAAGTAAGACACCGAAGGAGAATACTTTACCAACATCCCCCACTAGAAATAACTGTAAATTAATTAATACCATTTTCTGGCTTTTTATATCTTCATGTACATTTCACATTTTTTATTATTATATTATTTATTTTTTATATTTGATTTGTTTTTACAAAGATAACATTATTTTCTTAATTTTCTAATGTTATGTCATTACTTCGAATTCTATTTCATAATTCCAATTAAGATTACCATGTTTAATTTTTATACAATAGTTGAATTACATGTATAAAAGCGAAGGTTTGGAGGACATTTCTTGAAGTATTTTATAAATTTTACTACATAAATTGCTTTTCACTCAAAATTTATAAAGAATCTTGTATTAGTGAAAATGCTTAATTCAGAATGAGTTCTTTGGTACTCTACTTTGGCTCTAAAACCCAGTCACTTCACGGAACTACAATTTTGGCCTAAAATTTGCCAGTTTGGCACAACCATTCTTACTTGAGTGAGAGATGAAACACCTTCGTATTTATTAATTATTGTTCATTGAATGGGAGTTGGTAATGTCACAGTGTGCAATGAACTGGAAGTTGATCTGTCAGCACTATCCTTATCATCAGGGCAGATGTTTTTATTTTATTCGGCTTATAATTCTCTACTAAATGTAGTATTTCATCTCGATGTACTCCATCTTTGATATGATTTAAATCAAATTCCTCATCATTATAAATATCATGAATAAACATCAAATAGTTTTCTGGTTGCAATTTTCTAATTTCGACTATGCGTCATTCGCACGTTGAAAGAATAGTTTAATAAAGTAAACAAATCAATATTAAGCTCTTTTTTTTTGATACCCTTTAGATCATAATTGCTCTTTATTTCATAAATTATGGTTTCATATTTTTAATTTTATAATTTCTGCTTGCCATCTTACCAGATTTAAACTGATGATCTATAATCCGGAAAAACCGATAATCCAGAATCGCCGAAGTCCCGACGAATCTGGAATAAAGACTTTTGACTGTAGTTTCATTACAATATTTATAACATGTAGGCCTTTGAATACAACATGTGTATTCATTAAGAATTTAGCATTATTAGCAATGCAAAATTAGTCCGAGTATTTATATTTTCATTAATTCTAGCTAAAAAATTATAACAATAGTTACAGTAGTAAATTTCGGCAGATTTTATATGTTTAAACACTTATACCAATTTTTTCTTTAGTATTCATAATCTTAGTTGCCCGCCAGCGGCCAAGAAGTAAAGTTGTTGAACATTGGTAATTCAGTCTGGGGTTGAAATTACAGTGAACAGTCTGGCGGTTTTTTTGGTTTTCCACATGTGTAACAAGTATTCGAGCTATAGAAAGCCCTCCATGAAGGTATCCCTTATGTAGATAGCCCTCGAGTGCTTTGCACTAACTAAATATGCTATGTTTCTATATGGTAGGCTAATTGCATATTATGAATTACACTAGTTATCATAAATTAAGGAAAAATCACGATTACTGAAAAAGTTACATGTAGAATTTTATGAAACTTACCCACAATATACAACATAGAGTAAGGTATCAAATAACATAAAAATAAATTACCAGACAATTATGGTAGTATAGAAATTAGCACATGTATAAAATAAACAAATCGAAGGTGTCAGTTTGCTATAGGAAAAGTACCTTCAATATGGAATATGGTCACCTCTAGAACCAATACAGCACATACAGCGATGCATGATGCTTTCAATTATGCGGTCTATCAGTTCCATAGGAAGCGAAAGCCATTGCTCTTGCAAAGCAGTTGAAACGTGGCAAGGATCTGAGGGAATGGATTGAGAGCAGCTAGACGTCTCTCTAAAGCATCTCAAAAGTGTTTGATAGTATTCAAGTCCGGGGATCGAGCTGGCCACTCCATGTGCCCTGTGTGCTTTTGCATTATTGTCCTGTAACAGGAAAGCATCACCTATTGCCCCGGCACATGGGCACATCAAGGATGTCATCTCTATAAACTGGAGCATTCATGGTTTCCGTTGGAAAGACACGGAGGTCTCTGCGTCCACCCAAAGAGATGCCACCCAAAACACAGACACTGCCTCTTCTGTATGTATCTCTTCAATGGATGTTTGACAGATGATAACGGGTTTCAGGTTTTCTCCATATCAAATAACGGCTACTATCGCTTTCTAGACTAAACCTGATGAATTATAATTTAATTTAATAAATGCCTATATTTTAATTTTCATCCGTAAAGAGAACCGCCCCCCCCACTGATCAGGCGTCCAATGGATATGTTGTCGTGCCTACTGCAAACGGTCCTTCCTATGGCGTGACGTGAGCGGCACGCAAATGGCTGGTCGTCTCGCATACAGACCTACCTTCGTGAAGGTGGTCTTCTATGCGACAGTTGACACCAACCTTCCGGTGGCTGCAGCAAGGGAGGATCTAAGAAGAGTCAGAGTAGCGGTTTTATTCCTGTGTGCACTAAATGTCAAATATCGGTGATTGACGCTCGTCATAGCAGTTGTTCTGTCCTTGGCTGAACCTCCTAGAGGCCGAATATGTGGTTTGAAATTGCCTCCAAAAGTCTATGAACCACAGAAGGAGTCACATTTAGCCATCTGGCCACATCTGTTTGACTTTATCGTGCTTCTAGTCTCCCAATGGCTTTCCATCGTAGTTCTGCAGGCAAATGATGCCTGGAGGTCATTGTTATGAATTGGCTATCTCAGATTTCTGATGTCACACTATCACAATGTGGACTTGCTCTTAAACATGGACTTTTATTCTCCTCGCAGATGACATATTCCGAGTGCAGTGCCACTAATTTGCATATTGCAGTTTTACTCAACTACTTTTACTTGGCAACATATTCAAATTTTACACGGTTTGGCTTATTTTTGAGGGAGTTATCACTATTTTTGTGATTTTTCCTTAATTTATGATAACCAGTGTATAATGTTCTGTGCCTTTTTAGGAAACAAATTTTCCTCTCTACTTAACTATTGCCGAAACACGATCTGACAGAAACTGATGGTGGGGAACTATTCAAGAGAAACAAAACTTGAGGCAACCAGTAACTATGTGAAACAGGAATTGTCCCAAAATAGCTCATGGTGCACCAGGAAAGCAACCAAGATGATCTCCTAGATGAACAAAGGAACCATGAAAATTCTACCGCTGTAGGTGTAGTCTTCACAACCAGCAGCTCCGCAGGAAGATAAAGATGAAATCCACACTGCCAAGGATGAGCTCAAAAAGAAGGGAGAGGATCACCAATTCCAAATATGGAGGAAAGTAGATGAAGCGTGATGAGTCATAACTTTCGACGGAACGGAGAGTCAGGTAATAGTCTTCGAAGAGCTGTAATTCACCCAGAACTCATGCCGAGAGATGACGAATGGAGCCAAATGTTCTGTGGTACACTGAAGAATTCGTGAAGGCAGGTCATGCAACCAGCAGGAGAAAAATTACATTTTTTCATTAATTATTGAGCAGCTGGCAAAGTCGATGAGGTGACTGAATTTTGACGATATGCTTCTGATAGGTAGGAAAATAAAGAAGCAGGATACAAAAACTGAATCTCATGAAATATTTTATCAAATCAGAGAGATGCTGGCTATGAAGGAAATGTTGAATATGGGTTAGAATATGATTTTGAAGAAATTACTGCAGTTTGGCAACATAGCAAGATCTCGGTCCGAGTCCATGAGAATCCGTGTCTTCGTCATTCATATTGTGAAACTCAGGGAACCGAGGCCAAGCAAAAAGTCCTTCCAAAGTTCAAGTCATGTACAGGAGCGAGGGTCAAGAAGGACGAATTTTCACGAAGCAGACCCTTTTAGATATAACAAAACAGTCACCTTGGCTAACCCCCTGTCCGAAAAGGTGACAAAACCAGTTGCCGAAAACTCCCGCCTTAAGCCATGTAAAATTTCTACTTTTTTCTGAAGCATTGAACTAAAGGCAGAACTCAATTCTCGCCAAATATGCACAAAGCAAGGCCATGCCTAAGGACACCTGGCATGTCGAATCTGGCAACCATAAACTTCCCTCTCAGGAAATTGCTTTACCCAAGTCCAAAAACACGATATTTTTGTCACTGAATGAGAATTTTCCAATTTCACCCCCCTTTGTAACCAAACAAAAGTTTTGCAAGTTTTTCGTTAATTAAATGGCTAAAAATCTGTTAAAGCTAGGATTATGAAAGTAGTCTCAAATTAAAGTGCTAATATTTCTGCATCTGATGATACTAAATATTAAGAGTTCAACTTAAATTAAGTCACAAAAAATCCTAGTTTATTCGTGGAAATTTACCCAATTCCATTGTGTGTTTCAGCGCGTTTGCAAGTAGCAAGTGAAAAGAGGTTACCAAACTTTCATACAGAAAATCCCAACTAAAATTAAACCAAACAGTACCAATAATTAATTGAAATACACGTTGTGTAGCATAAATTTAGAATAGTTAATAAATGAAATTTTGATGAGCAGTAAATAAAATAATTAAATGAATTTTGCTACACAACAATAACATCTTAAATAGTCAGCTCATGTTGTAAGAAAATGTTTATGACTTTGGCATATAATTAGCAAGATATGTAATTTGTATGGATATATTTATATGATTTTGTACAGCGTTTCTTAAACTGTGGGTGGCACAGCGAACCTGCAGCAGGGGACTGCCAAAAAATTTAACGGTTTTGATATTTCTTTAACTTATTATAATAATTTTACAATTACCAAATATTTTTACACAATGTATCTGAAAATAGATAAAGATAAGACAATACAGGCAAAGAAAAAAGGAAAACATTTTGATGCATTCTTTTTATAATACAAATGTTCATTTTACTTGCTTTGCATGTGACACTGTCATTTCGTCTCTTATATAAAATTTTCACCTTGTTCTATGTTTTAAAATTGTTCTATGTTAATGACCTTAAACTGCAATAGTATATTACAGTACAAAGTGAAAAAATTGACAATTTCACATATGCGTGTGTAGGATTTGCACAGTGCTTATGGGATCCCACAAAATTTTCGTAAATTATGGGGTCCTGGGGATTGCAAAAGAATCTCAATGATAAAAAGGAGTTGTGACTGAAAAAAGTTTAAGAAACCCTGATTTTGTAGATTAGATTGATTGAATTTTGTTATTTGTAAATTTCTCTTTATATTTAAAATATTTCTTATAATTAAAAAAAATTCTTAAAGGTATACCATATTGAGGATAGCTGGGCACCTCATCTGTGTTTATCTGGAACCTCTGAAATTGCTTTAGCTTCTCATTTTTCTCAGAAGACATTTCAGAATTCCAATTTACCTTTGAAGTTTTGTGCAGCAAGTCGGTGTTATCGAGCTGAAGCTAACAAACATCAGAAAGAAAAAGGGATTTTTCGGTATGGTGTTAACTATGAGAGAATTTTCTAAAGTTCTTTTTTATATTTGTTATTTTAAATTCATAAATGATTATGTAGGAATTATGTATTTATTTAACAATGCGATATTTTCTGATTATCTGCACCCCTTTTGTGAAAAGTCACCAACCATCCTAAACTAATAACCTTTAATTCCTAAACTTTCGTCAATATGAGACACAAAAGAGAAACCCATTTTCAAAGGTAGCAGTGCTATAAGATTCACATAAAACAGCAACCAATTAATGCAAGAAACATACAGCATAAAACACTTGCTGTTTTTTTGTGCCCTTCTCCTCATGTATACTGCAATCTCATTTAGCTTCAAAAAACATTAGGGAATTTCAGAAATTTGGTACTGTGCACACTCTGTCACTTTTCTCATGTACACTGCAATCTATTTTAAGTTAAGGGACAAAAAAAAAAAAAAAAAAAAAAAAAAAAAAAAAAGGAGAATTGCACAAATTTTGATCTATAAAATTCAGTTGTTTACAAAGTACAGCTTTATAGAATGCAAATTTTCGCATCTTCTGCTGTTGGTCAAAATGCCGTATTTCTGAAGCAATGCAATGTTTTCTTTTTCATTACTGGTAAATACCACAGTCTCATTATGATTCCTTACAAGGAGGAAAATTACATCGAATGCAACAAAAATACTAATGACTCTAGTCCACGCAACAAAAATAAGAACTAATGACTGGCATTTCATGTGCTTTTGCATGTGTGCTTACATGGGTGCCTATTTTGACAAAATATGTTGTGCCAGTACCACATTCTTTTGAAGGTTCTGGATAATCAGAGAGTACCATTCCCTTTTTTTTTTTTTTTTAAATTACATATAATTGTGACTGTTTCTGAATTAAAACATTCATAAAAAAGTCATGGAGGGGTATCAAAGTTGCTTTCATAAGTTACATTAAAAAAAATGCTATCATTAAATTTTAGGAAGTGTGAGATCAATTACTGGAAGTACTGGTTCTATTTTTGCATGTGATAATTTTTATGAGCATCAGATACCTCATTTATTATGAAATACACTCATGTGCAAAATTCACAAATTTTATCTATTTTTATGAAATGTATTGAACTAAAGGTATTAATTATGTTGCCGAACAATTCTGCAACTATTCAGAGTCGAATACATAAGCATACATGTGCGTATCTGCAGAGCTGTTATCATGGAGGGGATGTAAGCGTATGAGGAGTTTTCATTGATTTATGTGCTCATATTCCTTTGCCACGCTTGCCATGTTTCTCACAAGAGTTGGGAGAATTTAATAAGATATCAGATAAAATGAGTAGCCACAAATACAGTCAAAAGTCATTAATCCGGACTCGTCGGGACTTCGGCGAATCCAGATTATCGATTTTTCTGGATTATAGATCATCAGTTTAAATCTCGTAGGATGGCATGCAGAAATTCTAAAATTAAAAACACAAAACCGTAATTTATGAAATAAAGAACAATTATGATCTAAAGGATATCAAAATTTACAAAAAAAAAAAAAAAAAAAAAAAAAGCTTAATATTTATTTGCTTTATTAAACATTTCTTTCAATGTAAGTTGTTTAAATTACTTCGTTTTATGTGATAATACTTTCTCTTTAATTCTATAAATAGACATAATTTCTTGTTCAGTTACAAAGTTCCGCTGTTCAAGTCCCGTAGTTGCTGTGCCGAGAATACCGACTAACTTGTCAATCGAAATTTTTTCGTTTTCACTAACCTCTCTGTCACCTTCTTCATGTCTTTATCCATTTTTTGCTGCAATTCCACTTTTTGTTTGATGGACATCGAAACATACTTTTGTTTTGTAGATCCTTTGGGAGCTCCAGCATCGGAAATTCTATTTGACGTAATCGAAAGTTCAAGTTTGCTTTTATAAAATTGCTCTTACAGTCTGCAAAAAATAATAAGCCGAATCGAATTCGAAGATTAAGGAACAACGCAATCATCAACATTAACTGAAATAGATAATTAGATAATTTTAGCTTATACCGTCCGTTGTACATAAAACGCGCACGCAAAAACGTATTCTGCGCTTGCGCACACGCATATGCGCAGTCGCAAAGGTCTTACGCGCACACGTAAATGCCTATGCGCATGTGTCAACGCGGCGCATGCGCAGAAAGTTTTTAGATTATGGGTGTTCGAATTAACAACTTTTGACTGTATATGGATGACGGAATGAGATTATCGGTAGATTGGAGGCAGGCCAATCACTCCCACAGATGGTTGCAGAGCTCAGTGTAATATCCAGTATCACCTGTAATTTGTTGAAACAGTTTCAGGACACTCGATTCTTACCGAAAAGACCTAGACAAGGTTGACCAAGATCCTCAACAATGAATGAGGATACATTTTTGGCATTTTTTAACACCAACACATGATTGCTGCAGATTTACAGCTTTCACATCAGCTGGGTGCTGCCACTGGAACCAGAGTTTCATGGCTTACAGCTGCTTGAAGGCTTCATAAGATAGGGCTGAATGCCGGAAGACTAGCTGTTTGTGTCCACACCCGTCAATATGCTGTCGTGCTGCACAACATATCTGGCTGTGAGAGGATACCATACTCTGTATTAAACTCATTTTCACTTCAGTATCACAGTGTAGATTTTGGGCATCCGTGCACTGTGAGGTTTACCGATAACCATGCATACATGAAATGACTTTTGAATGATGCATCTCTTTCTCTGGTAACAAGATTAATTAAAATTAGCTTATAAGAAATTCAATGTAATGAGCAAATTCTCTTAATTTTACCTATGAGTGTATTATAAATAGTATAGAGTAGAAAAAATTTATATTAAGAGTTATAGTATTAATTACCGATAGAAAATTTCATCTGCTAAATTAAATTTTTTTTCAGAGGAAAAAATAGTGAATAACATAATCTGTATAATATATAGTAAATGACATATATGTATTTTCATGTATCTGAAGTCGTTTCTGAAGTCTAGCAACACCTCGGAAGTAATTTTATGCATAATATTAGAATCTGTAATGTGAAATCATTTTGTACACTCAGTTCTACTAACATAGGTGAGATTAAAAAAAAGTCATCGATTATATTTAAATAATAAATAACTTTATAGTATATCAATCAAAAATAGTATATCAATCTATTTTTCAAAGTAAAATGCTGTTGACTCAATTCTTAATACAGTCAAAAGTTGTTAATCCGGACTCGTCAGGACTTCGGCGATTCCGGATTATAGATCATCAGTTTAAATCTGGTAAGTTGGCATGCAGAAATTACAAAATTAAAAATATGAAACCGTAATTTATGAAATAAAGAACAATTATAATCTAAAGGGTATCAAAATTTACAAAAAGAAAAAGCTTAATATTTATTTGTTTACTTTATTAAACATTTCTTTCAATGTAAGTTGTTTCATTTCATGTGATAATACTGTCTCTTTAATTCTATTAAACAGACATAATTTCTTGTTTAGTTACAAAGTTCCGCTGTTCAAGTCCAATAATTGCTGTGTCGAGAATACCGACTAATTTGTCAATCGAAATTTTTTCGTTTTCAATAACCTCTGTTACTTTCTTCACTATCGGAAGTGAATTATAATGACGAGGAACTTGTTTTAAATCATATCAAAGACGGAGTACATCGAGATGAAATACTACATTTAGTAAGGAATTAAAAGCCAAATAAAATAAAAACATCTGCCCTGAAGATAAGAGTAGTGCTGACAGATCAACTTCCAATGCATTGCGTGTCACGGCGTTCCCCCCGCCGAGCAGCGTGAAATTGATAAACAGATTTCGGATTTTGAAACATACTTTCGCTTTAGATCCTTTACATATTAGCAAATATATATCGGAAATTCTATTTGATATAATCGAAAGTTCAAGTTTACTTTTATAAAATTGCTCTAACAGTCTGCAAAAAATAATAAGCCGGATCCAATTCGAAGATTAAGGAACAATGTAATCTGCAACATTAACTGAATTAGATAATTTTAGCTTAGCTTATACCATCCGTTATACATTAAACGCGCATGTGTAAATGTTTCATGTGCACGTGCACACGCATATTTGCAGCCGTAAAGGTCTTACACGCACACGTAAACGCCTGTGTGCATGCATCAACGTGATGCATGCGCAGAACGTTTGTAGCTTTGATGTCCGGATTATAGATCATTCCGGATTATGGGTGTCCGAATTAACGACTTTTGACTGTAATAGTTATTGACATTCGTGCTTAAAAGTGTATGATTTGAAAATGCTTTTTTGATTAATATAATACTGAACTTTAAACATCTGGTTAGTTTGTGTTTAAAAATGAACAAACATGAAAATCATTTAATGTGCATTATGTAAAATTAAACATACTGAATATAATTTATAGTAGAATACAGCCATCCTTAATATATATACATGACATATAAAAATGGCAAATACGCATCCTTGAAGAATAGTGAAGTAGAACTTATTTTCGTGTGGCAGATACAAATCATAATCATAATTTATTTTAAGTCTATAAATTGATTTTTTATCACTTGTAACATCAATGCTTCTTCCTGTGGTTTTTTTTTTTTTTTTTTTTTTTAGATTTAGCCTAACTGTTCTTTAATAAAAACAGGGCAGTGATGTATTAAAATGCTGTAGTGATTTATGCATGTTCCTCCAGAAATGTAGAATTCATCAGATATAACAAATAATATTTATAATGAAAAAATGTTACCGATTTCCCACATTCATTATGACTACTTTGGACTTCATTTTACAATGCTAATTTTATATTGTTTTTGAGCACATTATTTATCATGTCACAGATTATAATAACTAACTCTTTGTCTATCACTTACAAATTGCATGTATTATGATTTATTTGTCCAAATGTAAGTCCTATATACTAACATCAGATTTCATTTGTGGTACATGAATATACTCAGCTTTTATAAATTTCTATCATGGAAGTAGGAATAGAAGCAGATGCTCTTCTCCTTCTCTTTTGGTGCAGTT